GAATGGGATTGGACTGGATGGCCCACGGGGTCTCTTCTAACTCTACGATTCTATGACAGGATGGCCCTTGTAATCTCTTCCAATTCTTATGATTCTATGAAGATGGGGATAGTCATGCATTGACCTCAAGGAGTTTTTTCTTTCTGGCGACATCATTTGTACAACATTTCACTGTAATATCTCAAACTATTCAATGGATAACAGTCTATGAAGGAGTATCTCCCCTGTGGATACAGAGGCCCAACGGCAAATAAATAAAATCTTCCCAGAGAACTATGCCGATCTCCTTGAGGAGTCGTCGTCGACTGCCAGTGCCCTTTTCCAAGTTAACTCCCTTACCGGGTGTTTCTTGTCCGTGAGTATTGTTCAGTTCGGCCAGGAGCTGGTTGAAGTCATCCTGATGGGCAATCCAGTTGTCCTGCAAGTATCACATGCAAAGCATTTTATTAATAACTAGCCATCCCCTGCCACACATTGCTGCCACCCACATGGGGGTTCTGTGTGGGAGGTTTGGCCCAATTCTATCCTTGGTGGGGTTCAGAATGCTCTGTGATTGTAGGTGAACTATAAATCCCAGAAACTACAACTTCCAAATGTCAAGATTCTATTTTTCCCAAACTCTACCAGTGTTCACATTTGGGCATATTGAGTATTTGTGTAGAGTTTGGTCCAGATCCATCATTGTTTGAGTCCACAGTGATCTCTGGATGTAGGTGAACTACAACTCCAAAACCAAAGGACATTGCCCACCAACCCTTCCAGTATTTTCTGTTGGTCATAGGAGAACTGTGTGCCAAGTTTGCTTCAATTCCATCATTGGTGGGGTTCAGAATGCTTTGATTGTAGGTGAACTATAAATCTCAAAAACTACAACTCCCAAATGACAAAATCAATTTTTTTGAGTGAAGGATATACATTGGATTGTTAGGTGTCCTGTGTCCAAATTTGGTGTCAATTCACCCAGTGGTTTTTGAGTTCTGTTAATTCCACAAACAAACATTACGTTTTTATTTATAAAGATTTTTAGCTGTTATACTGTTCCTATAACACATGATTTCATGACAGTACATAGGGAAAACAAAACTGTGTAAATTATTCATTTTTTGTTGTATGAAAGTAAAACCACGTTTGTGGATTTAACTTTTGTGGATTTGATCATTTGCTGATTTGACTAATAGGTCTACAAACCTCGAAGTCCTGCAGGGTGACTTTAGGGTCAACCTCTGACAGAGGACTAAGACATTGCAAGAAAGATGTTCTTTCGAGTTAAAAAATGTGTTTTTAAATTCACTTTCACAGGGTTTTTGTGCCTCTTGCACATGCAAAAAGGGAGGGCCTATTACATATCTCAAGTAATAAAATGTTTTTCTTGGTGTCTTGGTTTTTAGGCCTTTTTCTGGGGTTCTTTGGAGCTGTGAAAACTGCATTGGATAGACTGCATTAGCTCTAGTTTCTTAGGTATGGTAATCATGATTTTCTATGGGCAAACAGGTGAAGACTTGTATAAAGCATATGTTCTGTATCTCAAAAATTGCTGCCATATTTGGAACCAGCAGGTCAAATATACCCAGATACAGGGCTAACATTTGAGGCACTAAAATGTATGCTGGAAAGTGTTATAGGTCTTTTAGCAATGTATAAAACTGAAAAAATACTAGATTTTAATCTAAGGAGCTGCCGGTGGAACAGTGGGTTAAAGAGCAGAGCTGCTGAACTTGCTGACCAAAAGGTCGCAGGTTCGAATCTGGGGAGCGGCATGAACTCCCGCTGTTAGCCCCAGCTTCTGCCAACCTAGCAGTTCGAAAACATGCAAATATGAGTAGATCTATGGGTAGTGCTCTAGCAGGAAGGTAACAGCGCACCATTAAGTCATGCTGGCCACATGACCTTGGAGGTGTCTACGGACAGCGCTGGCTCTTCCGCTTAGAAACAGAGATGAGCACCAACCCCCAGAGTCAGACACAACTGGACTTAATGTCAGGGAAAACCTTTACCTACTGAGATTTTAATCTATAATTTAAAAGTTTGTATCAAAAATAAGCTATATTTTTATTTTAAAAACATTAATTCACTAATGTAAAAGCATTTAAAACAGACAGCACAGTGTAGTGATTTGAGCATTAGAAAATGACTCTGACGTTTAAATACCCACTCAGCTATGGGAACCCACTGGGTGACCTTGAGCAAGTCACACTGTCTCAGCTTCAGAGAAAAGCAAAGGTAAGCCTTGTGGCAAAATTAATCTTAATGTCAGTCTAAGTCAGAAACAATTTAAAGACACACAACAAGAGCATATTACAACAATAAACAAATCAAACCATTATAGCACATTTAGGTAGTTTAAATGTGTATGAGAGAAAGGGATTAATTTAGATCTAATATATGTAAATACTGATATCACTTTCACTGCCATGGCCCAATGCTATGAACTCATGGGAGGTGTAGTTTGGTGAAGTATCAGGACTTCAGAAAAATGGCTTCAAACTACAAGAAAGGAGATTCCATCTGAACATGAGGAAGAACTTCCTGACTGTGAGAGTCGTTCAGCAGTGGAACTCTCTGCCCTGGAGTGTGGTGGAGGCTCCTTCTTTGGAAGCTTTTAAACAGAGGCTGGATGGCCATCTGTCAGGGGTGATTTGAATGCAATATTATTGCTTCTTGACAGGGGGTTGAACTGGATGGCCCATGAGATATCTTCCAACTCTTTCATTCTATGATTCTATGACTATCTGGCAGAGAAGGCTAAAGATCTTGTACAGCTACAATACACAGAACTTCCACAGCACTGTGCTATAGCAATGAAAGTGGTGTCAAACTGCATTAATTCTTCCCCCAGAGACAAAATTCAAACAACAGGAAAAAAAGATTACACTTAAACATTTGCAAGAACTTCCTGACTAAAAGAGATATTCAAAAGTAAACATGCTGCTTGGGAGCATGGTGGAGTCTCTTTCTTGGAGTTGTTTAAGCAGAGGCTGGATGGCCATCGGCAAGGAGTGTTTGGATTGTGTCCTCCTGCTTGGCAGAAAGGGTTTGGACTAGATGGCCCTTGGGGTCTCTTCCAACTCTACAATTCTATTCTCTCAAATCTATACATGTGATTATGCTATGTGATATCTCGGGCTCATTCACGTCATTTCTCTATGTCTTCAACAGAACAGCATGAGACTTTTTTTTGTTTCTATATGTTACACTGTTTGGGACAAAGGGCTCTTTCACATGTGCTATGATCACAGTTTAGCTTCCTGTGAAATCTTGGGATTTGTAGTTTAGGGAGGGCTACCTAAAATCCTCAGTCACAGAGCTCTACTGCTTCACCAGACTACATATCCCATGGTTCCACCAGACTACATATACCATGATGTTGTTTTAATTTGTGTTAGACTCCAGCCCTAGGGGAGTGGCGGCATATAAGTTTGAATAATAAATAAATAAAGTAATAAATACAATCAAGTCATGGCAAATAATGGAGATTCACAGTATAACGGTATACTTATGAAAAGTTCAAAGGTTTGTCAATGATCAAAACGACGAAATAAAATTAATGGGATTTTAATTTTGGTCCTAGTTGCTTTTCATGGTAAAATAATTGCATATCTAAGTGAAACCTGATGGGAAGTGTTTACAATGGTTCAGGTCACTGGACTGCAGACTTCTACTAGAAGACTGCAACAAAATGTAGCTCTGCAAGACTGGGAAAGGGACATTGACAAGCTGGAATGTGTCCAGAGGAGAGCGACTAAAATGATCAAGGGTCTGGAGAACAAGCCCTATGAAGAGCAGCTTAAAGAGCTGGGCATGTTTAGCCTGAAGAAGAGAAGGCTAAGAGGAGATATGATAGCCATGTATAAATATGTGAGAGGAAGCCACAGGGAGGAGGGAGCAAGCTTGTTTTCTGCTTCCCTGGAGACTAGGACAAGGAACAATGGCTTCAAACTACAAGAGAGGAGATTCCATCTGAACATGAGGAAGAACTTCCTGACTGTGAGAGCCGTTCAGCAGTGGAACTCTCTGCCCCGGAGTGTGGTGGAGGCTCCTTCTTTGGAAGCTTTTAAACAGAGGCTGGATGGCCATCTGTCAGGGGTGATTTGAATGTAATATCCCTGCTTCTTGGCAGAATGGGGTTGGACTGGATGGCCCATGAGGTCTCTTCCAACTCTTTGATTCTATGATTCCACCTAAAGATGAGGAAGAACATTGCCATGGTAAGAACTATTCCACAGTGGAAGAGACTGACTTAGGTCGTGGTGGAACTTCTTTCTTTTGAGGTTTTCAAACAGAGGCTGGAGAGCCATCTGCTGGGAGACTTTGGCTTTGTATTCCTGCATGTAAGAATAGAGCAGGAATGGATGCCCCTATGGCCCCAGTCCAATGAAATGCCCCATTTGGTGCCTGAGGTTTAAGCAACTGAGCCACAAGTATGAACACAGGGTCTCATCTCCACAGGCTCCACTCACCTCTTGGTTGATGGTTGATCCTAAGCCCAATGTGTTGTTCTTCACTTGAACCCGGATGTGCTCTGTGTTGCCTTGCTCCTGAGCTCCAAGTCCCTAGCAAAAACAGAATTGGATAACTGCTTATTTTCAGGTAGCGTAGCTTGTTGCCTGTCAATATGGCGCCTTAATTGTCCTTCTCGTGATATATATATATATATATTAAAAAATAAGTATGTAACAAAAACTAATTTCAAATGCTTGACCACACATTTCAGGAGAAGAACAGCAAAATCGAATTACGCAGCCAAACAAAAATTATCTTGGTGCCTTCGTTTTTAGGCCTGTTCCTGGAGTTATTTGGCGTGCTGATTTTATTTATTTATTTACAATATTTTTATACCGCTGCTGTCAGCCTTCCGGCGACTCGAGGCGGTTTGCAAGGCAAAATTCAATACCACCAAAAACAGAGTTACAATATAAAAACTTTAACATCAATAAAATCATAACAGCTGCAATAAAACATAATTCAATAAATACTCATTAAAACAATGTCCAATCCATCTTGTAGTTGATTCCGTTCTTATGTCGGTTACCCAGTATTCGCAAATGCCTGCTCGAATAGCCATGTCTTGAGTTTTTTCCGAAATGCTAAAAGCAAAGAAGCTGATCTAATCTCCATAGAAAGGGCGTTCAATAGCCGAGGGGCCACCACTGAGAAGGCCCTGTCTCTCGTCCCTGTAAGCCATGCTAGTAATGATGGCGGGACCAAGAGCAGGGCCTCTCCAGACGATCTTAAGTCCTTGAAGGTTCATAAGGAAAGATGCGTTCGGACACGTAAGTTGGGCCAGAACCATTTAGGGCTTTATAGGCAAGGGCAACACTTTGAATTGTGCCCGGTAGCAGACTGGCAGCCAGTGGAGCTGGCACAATAGGGGGGTTGTATGCTCCCTGAGAGCCGCTCCAGTTAGCAACCTGGCTGCCGTCCGCTGGACCAGTTGAAGCTTCCGGACAGTCTTCAAAGGCAATCCCACATAGAGAGTGTTACAGTAGTCTATACGGAATGTAACAAGAGCGTGGATCACCATGGCCAAGTCAGACTTCCCAGAAAACTGCATTGGATAGACTGCATCAGCTCTAGTTTCTAAGATATGGTTTTCTATGAAGGAACAGATGATGACTGATAGATGCCACATGTTCTGTATCTCAAAAACTAGAGCCGATAGGTGGAAACTGATGTAATTTTGGGATAAACAGGTCAAAACTAACTGTTTGAGGAGTCAGCAGATTGGTGAAAGTGAGGACTAATAATCAAACAAATCAGCAAACTACTGGATAACTGTAGGAAAAGCATGGAGTGCTATCTATCTGTCATATTTTGAGGAGACCATGTGGCCCAGCACAGGGGCAAGCTGAAAGTGCATGCATCTCACTTGGAGCCACCAAACTGCCTTTGCTCAGCAGTCAAGTCTTGGTGGATAAGGCAAGGTACAAACACAGCTCACGTGCTAGGAAACAAGTGCTAGGAAACAACACTTAACCAGTCTTCCTTGCCAGCTTCAAGACTCAGACATGATTCCAGACTGCACTCTCTATCTGGTTTGTCTCCCAGGCTTCTGACTGATTTTCTCAGCTTCTTGATGCAGGATAGTTAATTACTATACATACAATGTGTGTCCATGGAGAGTGGCACTGCATGCACAACATTGATTCCACAAGCTTGAATTGAACATGGACATTCATCCCATAAGGGGAAGTATGCATAATTAAAACACTAACAAAATTCTGTTCTTTGATTTTTATCTACCCCGTGGGAAACTAATTAGCAGAAAATGTCCTTGTTTGTTTGCCAATCTGCAAAAAGGGGAGCTATTTTGGGACATTCAGGTTGAATAGGATTTTTGGAACTCAAGACACTGTCATTCCTACTATCTTTGAACTGCTACGGTCTTGTTATGTAATGTCTTGCTATTTATCTTGCTATTTATTTAAAACATTTATATTCTGCCCTTCTCACCCCGAAGGGGACGCAGGGTGGTGCAGAGCATATATATGGCAAACATGCAATGCCGGGACAAGAATTTATATACGCATACATAAACATTAAAAACATGTATCTCAATATTAAAATACACCATTTAAAACCGTCCTGGTCATCGGCATCAAATCTAATTGGCCTGGTAATCTGTCCTATTGCTGCTTTATTGCCCTGTCCCGAATCTATGTACCTTGCCTTTCGACCATCCCATTTTTTCCAACATCTTCTGGCCAAATTTCGATTCATCTTTGCTCCAAGCACTATTCCGAGGATCCACAGACCATTTTTGCTTGCGACGTGCTACGAGAGAGAGAAAAGATTACATGACCTGCACATAAATAAGTAATTAAGTTCACATCTGGCTGTTCCTTCCTGCTGTTGTTTACTGCTTTGAGGAAACTTAAAGAATTGCACTGGGAAAGGAATCAAATGACTGTGACTTGTTTCCATTCTGACAATCCTAATGAAAGTTGTGGTAGCCCTCTCCAGTTTCCACTCTGGCAATCCTAATTAAAGATATAATAGCCCTCTCCTGTTTCCACTCTGGCAATCCTAATTAATGGTGTGGTAGCTCTCCCCAGTTTCCACTCTGGTGATCCTAATTAAAGTACAGTGGCCCTCTCCAGTTTCCACTCTGGCTACCCTGATTAAAGTTGCCGGAAGCCTGTCCACTTTGCCTAGAAGCCCCATGCTTGGCAATGAAAGCCAGGCAACAAAGAAGACTGAAAAATCTCATCACAAGTGCAAAGAAGCCAGAATGGATGTGACAGATTAGAGAGATGGGCCAAAACTAAGAAAATGAAGTTCAACGGGGACAAATGCAAGGTACTCCACTTAGGCAGAAAAAACAAAATGCAAAGATACAGAATGGGGGACAATGCCTGGCTTGAGAGCAGTACGTGTGAAAAAGTCCTTGTGGACAACATGAGCCAACAATGTGATGTGGCGGCAAAAAAAACCAATGGGATTTTGGCCTGCATCAATAGGAGCATAGTGTCTAGATCTAGGGAAGTCATGCTCCCCATGCTCTATTCCGCTTTGGTTAGACCACACCTGGAATATTGTGTCCAATTCTGGGCACCACAATTCAAGAGAGATATTGACAAGCTGGAATGTGTCCAGAGGAGGGCAACTAAAATGATCAAGGATCTGGAGAACAAGCCTATGATGAGGAGCAGCTTAAAGAGCTGGGCATGTTTAGCCTGAAGAAGAGAAGGCTGAGAGGAGACATGATAGCCATGTATAAATATGTGAGAGGAAGCCACAGGGAGGAGGGAGCAAGCTTGTTTACTGCTTCCCTGGAGACTAGGACGCAATGGAAAAATGGCTTCAAACTACAAGAGAGGAGATTCCATCTGAACATGAGGAAGAACTTCCTGACTGTGAGAGCCGTTCAGCAGTGGAACTCTCTGCCCCGGAGTGTGGTGGAGGCTCCTTCTTTGGAAGCTTTTAAACAGAAGCTAGATGGCTATCTGTCGGGGGTGCTTTGAATGTGCTTTTCCTGTATGGCAGAATGGAGCTGGGCTGGATGTCCCATTTGGTCTCTTCCAACTCTATAACTCTTTGATTCTATGATCCTATTAGTCAGCCCAGATGTGTAGTTTATCTCCTGCTAAAGAGAGAGCAGCAAAGGTTAGAAAAAAGGTTAGAAAACCCCCATCCCATTCCTTCCCACCGGTTCAAAACTCACGCTCTGCCAGCATCGCCATCTTGGGAAGGGAGCGCTCCTGGGGTCCTTTCTCTCTAGCCGGCGCGTCGTGACCTTCCCTGCCGCCATCTTGTTAAGGTCTTAGGAGTCTAATTCAAACGCCGGGCACAAAGGAAGCCTCGCGAGGGAGAAAGAACAGGGTTAGGAAGAAGCATGTAAGCTGAGACGCCGGGGAGAGATTTAAAAGAGGAATTGGGACGCGTTATTTCGTTTATAGAGTTGGGAAAAATCTAACCGGCACTATGTTAGTCGGCTAAATTGCAATTCCCCGTCCGTCTTAGTAAGCTGAGGCGATAGAGTGAGAGTTGGTGGAAACTTTTGGGAGTTCGCCCTCTGTAGGAGAGGAATGGTATTGCCTTCAAAAGTTTGTCCCAGAAAAATGTATACACACCATTTAAAGACCTAAGAGTAAGCTAGTGATGATGATGATTTTAATTTGGTTTTATTGATTTACCAACAAGTGCAGTTTCTGTGATGTTTTCACTGGTGATATATGTCTTAACTGTTGTAAAGTTTTATTTTTTATGGGTGATGTTTATGAGTTATAATTAATATATTTATTAGGATTTATTTTCGTTTTATGCATTGTTATTTGCCTTTTTTATTTGTTTGTTTTGATTTCCACCTTTTTTGAATTGTGTGATTTACAAGGGGATGGGATATAAATAAAGTGTTATTATTATTATTATTTGAAGGCCAAGCAAATACTGCGATTCGGCACTGTGCAGGTCCAGCTGTTCCAGGAGCTCCAATTTTGTTTGCTTTGCATTGAATGTTTGTTGTAGTCCTAAGTTTCAGGGACTCTGCAGATAGGTGGCTTCTTTTGGCTGCAATCATAGGGCAAGCCACCTGTCAATTATCGTTAGTTTCCCTGGTCCCGCCCCCTTTTGGGGTTTTGGAGGGAATAGGAGCCAGTTTGGGTTCAGTCCACACAGAGAAGCCTTTCATGCAGGACATAATACCAAGAGCTCCTGTAGAAAGCTTTGTCTTCTACGGCTTGGTTGGGGAGATACAGCCCCACAGCTTGGCCGGAAGATATACAGCCTTACAGCTCCTTTGCTCAACAATCACTGAAACCTGAACTCCTTTTTCCCTGGAAGTCTACAAAGCTCTGCTTGGTAAGGGTCACTTGCAGAAGCCAGAAGCAGTTGGTACCGGGTGCAGGGGCTCCATACCAACAGAGGCAAAAACAGACTGCTCAGATTAGAAGTTACGGATTTCCCTATTAGCTAAAATACAGTTTATGAAGATAGTGCCTGTTCCTTGTGGACAAGACTGAGAGAGAGCCAATAGACTGTTAAGAAAGCCTTTTGTTTTCATTAATAAAGAACATTGTTGAACCTTTAAGCAATCTAAAGACTCTGTTTTAAGGAAATCCAAAGGCCTTTAGTCTGAGGCAGCCCCGGCGTCCCGTTGGGCACACAGAACTTATGTCCTGTCTACAGTCTGATGCACAGGCCCAGCGTGCGACAGCACAGACACCAAATTACTTCCTTCCAGTCCCTCAAACTGTTGGTGGGCCGTGTGCTGTCACGCGCTGGGCCTGTGAAAGAGTCTGTAGACAAAACGTGTTTTCTGAATGCCCAACGGGATGCCAGGGGTGCCTCGGCTGAGAGGCCTTTCGGATTTCCCCACACAAAGTTCTTTTAAAGACTTAGAAAGTTCAACAAGGCTTTGGATCCTGTGTTGTCGAAGGCTTTCATGGCCGGAATCACTGGGTTGTTGTAGGTTTTTCGGGCTATATGGCCATGTTCTAGAGGCATTCTCTCCTGACGTTTCGCCTGCATCTATGGCAAGCATCCTCAGAGGTAGTGAGGTCTGTTGGAACTAGGAAAGGGGTTTATATATCTGTGGAATGACCAGGGTGGGACAAAGAACTCTTCTGCTGGAGCTAGGTGTGAATGTTTCAACTGACCACCTTGATTAGCATTTGATGCCTGACAGTGCCTGGGGCAATCTTTTGTTGAGAGGTGATTGTTTTCCCTCTGCTGTTTTGCTCTTTTAATTTTAGAGTTTTTTTTAATAGAGTTTAGAGTTGGACTGGATGTCCCATTTGGTCTCTTCCAACTCTATAATCCTTTGATTCTATGATCCTATTAGTCAGCCCAGATTTGTAGTTTATCTCCTTTTAAAGAGAGAGCAGGAAAGAGTGCAATCACTTCCCTCTATACCAAAGCACCTGAGGAACCAACCTGGACACAGCATATTATTGGAGAACACAGAAATGCTGGACCACTCTCACAACCACCATGTCAGACTACACAGAGAAGCCATTGAAATCCACAAGACATGTGGACAATTTCAACAGAAAGGAGGAAACCATGAAAATGAACAAAATCTGGCTACCAGTATTAAAAAAAACTCTAAAATTAAAACAGCAAAACAGCAGAGGGAAAACAATCAGGGACATCTAATCACCTCTCAACAAAAGATTGCTCCAGGCACTGCCAGCCATCAAATGCTAATCAAGGTGGTCAGTTGAAACATTCACACCTATCTCCTGCAGACAAGAGTCCTTTGTCCCACCCTGGTCATTCCACAGATATATAAACCCAATTTTCCTAGTTCCAGCAGACGTCACTACCTCTGAGGATGCTTGCCATAGATGCAGGCGAAATGTCAGGAGAAAATGCCTCTAGAACATGGCCATATAGCCCGAAAAAAACCTACAACAACCCAATGTATACACCATTTAAAGACCTAAGAGTAAGCTAGTGATGATGATCCAATACAACAGCCAACAGAGTGTCTGCCGTGGACTCATCTTGTTGTGTTTCAAATAATAATAATGTTTGCCTTATATGTGTACTGTAATCCACTCTGAAATAAAGTGGAATATAAATAAAGTTTATTATTATTTCCCCTTATTTCACTTAGCAAAATATATTTTGTAGTTGTGTGCCTTTGAATCATTTCTGACTTCTGAAGACTCTAAGGTACACAAACTGGCAACCTTTGAACTGGAATATATGGCAGTGTGGACTCAGATAACCCAGTTCAAAGCAAATATTGTGGGATTTTCTGCCTTGATATTCTGAGATATAGGGCTGTGTGGAAGGGCCCTGGGTTATCTGAGTCCACACTGTCATATAGCCCAGTTCAAAGCAGAAAATGTGGGATTTTGTTCATCTGCGTGCAAGGGACCTGTGTGCGATCAGGGTGATTTGCAGGTCTTAGATCAGAGAGAAGAGCTGGAGACAGAGGTTGTCTGGGATTCCAATATCCATTCCATTTTTCATGGGAATTGGCTTTCAGAGGAAGATTCAGCAGATGGGGAGTTTTCCTGTGATATCAGATTAAACCTCTGCGTGGAGGGAGTGAAGGATAGATTCATTTGGTGTTCAGAAAGACTCCGTGAGAATTCCATGAAATGCAGGTGTCAAAGAGATGACCTCATGGCTTCTCGGTCAGGTTTGTGCTTAAATTAAGTGATGTTTACTTGGTATCTCCAGAGCATACAACACTGCCATAGAATCAAGTTCCTGTTTCAGTTCTCAAGTTCATGAATCAAGTCTCTTGTATTTGCCTATGTTCCTGAAAGAGTTTTGCCTCGGAAAATTTCCTGTCTTCATGCTTATGCTCTTGATTTCCTGGATTTCATGTAATTGGCTATTTTGGACAATTGGTACAACAATCTGCATTTATGGGATGATCTCTCAGGGCTCAGTAGGAGACTCCTTGCTGAAGCTTTTTCCCTATTCAAAGGCCTTACTGGTGCATTATTTAAACTGTTATGTTTATTCATATCATGATCTGATCACCATACTCAATATATACCATATGCATGGGGGTATTGGGGTAATGATACAAAAGGTTTGCTAGGCTAGACCCTCTTTCACTCAGACTCAGCCCCCCCCCGAAACTCAGCCCCCCCGAACCCCCCCTGAAAAAAATTCAGCCCCCCCCCCCAAACGAAATCCTGGCTACGGGCCTGCAATCTAGAGGCATTCTCTCCTGACGTTTCACCTGCATCTATGGCAAACATCCTCAGAGGTAGTGAGTTTTACCGGTGTTTGGGGGGGGGGGTGTGTGTGTGAGAGAGACCCACAGACTGTTGCTGCTTGGTGCTGGGGGAGAAAGAGTAAAACAGTAGCCACAGCTTTACTTCTTTCACCTGAGCACACACAATACCTAAAGCAGAGCGTCCTGCTCCCCATTTCACTGAGGAGACTTTTACTTTCACTTCCTATGTCTCAGCTTGCAGCACGCATAGAATGACCAGGACTTGACAGTGGGAGCCAACCTTGTATGCTGCATGGCCATGTCTATCACTATGTCTTATTTTATGGGTATGTCTTATTTTCGGAGAAACAGGGTAGTTACTACTGGACTCTGTGTGAGGCTGGGGCTTTAATACAACTGGTAAATACCAATGATAAGATCTACTAACTGAAAGGTTGCCAGTTTGAAGCCCTGGGTCGGCGTGAGCTGCTGACTGTCAGCCCAGCCTACTGTTGACCTAAGTAGTTCAAAAACATCTTGAGCTCTAATTAGAGGAATTAAGTACCGCTAAAACAAGTGGGGGAAGTATTTTACGACATCATAAAGAAAACGTTCAGAAAATTCCCAGTGACCAAAAGAAAGGAGGAAGTCCTGATGGCTCCTCATTGTTTAGGAGCCCCAGTGGCGCAGTGGGTTAAACCCCTGTGCCGGCAGGACTGAAGACCGACAGGTCGCAGGTTCGAATCCGGGAAGAGGCGGATGAGCTCCCTCTATCAGCTCCAGCTCCTCATGCGGGGACATGAGAGAAGCCTCCCACAAGGATGATAAAAACATCAAATCATCCGGCGTCCCCTGGGCAACGTCCTTGCAGACGGCCAATTCTCTCACACCAGGAGTCACTCCTGATACGACAAAAAAAAATTTTTTTTAGAGAGGATGGAGCAACAGCACCCCCCTGTGGCTGGATTCGAGCACAACCTCCAAGGCGCCAAAAAACATCTTGAGCTCTAATTAGAGAAATTAAGTACCACTAAAACAAGTGGGGGAGGTATTTTACGACACCATAAAGAAAACATTTAGAAAATTCCCAGTGACCAAAAGGAAGG